AGACAATTAAGTCGACTATTCTTTAAAGAGAATGAGAAGGATACACTGGTGTCGATTCTAGCATGATTCTTTAAACCTAAACTTAAATTTGACAGCAGTATATCCTTGTCATTCTCTATACAGAATGAAAAGGAGAGACTGATGTTAAATTTAGTTTTAAGTTTAGAGAATCACGTCAGAATTGGCACCACTGTTGTCAAATTTAAGTTTAGGTTTAGAGAGTCATGCCAGAATCGACACCAGTTTTGGCAAGACTGTAGAGCCGCCTTTACTCTTTGAAGGCGTCCTTATTAGATACCTACACACTCACCAAAGCTTTCAACAGTAGAATAGAGTTGAGAACAAAATTTTTTTTCTATACTACATTGTTATGGGCTGTCCATTAATCCAACTGGGTTGCCAACTTTTTTCCTATCAAATATAGTATTTTCGACGCTGTTCCTCTAAAAATATAGTATATGGCATTTTTTTTTTTAAATATAGTAGTGTCGAATCTAGAGTGATTCTCTAAACTTAAAACTAAATTTAACATCAGCCTCTCCTTTTCATTCTGTATAGAGAATGACAAGGATGCACCGTTGTCAAATTTAAATTTAGCTTTAAAGATGTTCATGACATCAGTGGTGTCGATTCCAGGGTGATTCTCTAAACTTAAAACTAAATTTAACATCAGTCTGTCCTTTTCATTCTGTATAGAGAATGACAAGGATACACTGTTGTCAAATTTAAGTTTAGATTTAGAGAATCGTGCCAGAATCGACACCAGTATGTGGTTAAAATATTTACTTTATTTTTGAAATGAATATATTTTGCTGCTATAATGCCTTAATACAGTTTTTAATTTTTAAGAAAGCTTTTACTGGCAAAAGTCTGCTTTAAGCAAAATATAGGAGTTTAGCCTACTATATATATTTTTTTAGAAATATAGTGGTATCGATTATGGCATGATTCTCTAAACTTAAAACTAAATTTAACATCAGTCTCTCCTTTTCATTCTGTATAAAGAATGACAAGGATACACTGTTGTCAAATTTAAGTTTAGGTTTAGAGAATAGTGCCAGAATCGAAACCAGTATTTCTTCCCCGAATATAGTCGGGCGGGCAACCCTAGGTTTAATTCCTCAGCTCAACATGTGCGTGCTCTCTGAGGGGCCACAGTGGAGAACGTAGGTTTCGTCTACACGAAGATTTACGAGGACCTTAAAAAAAAATTTGCCTGAAGGATAAATTTATTTCCGATGTAAGTCGAACGCTACGAATCACCGAAAATTAAATTATTAACTAAACAAATTAACAATCTATTTGAGAATTGGTTTATACTTCCAGTTTGCATGTTTATTTCAATAAAATGTAAACTTGATAAAATGGCAAATGGAATGGTTATGAATAGATTAGAATCTCATATATTTCTAATGAACTTACTTCGAATACAAACAGAAGGCACAGCTAATGCATTTAATCTGTTATAACGATTTTTATCCTCTTCAGTAAAATGTAAGTCACAGACTCTCCGATTCGATCGGTAATATTCAAAATCAGATGTATTTTCCAACTGTCCTCCAGCAAGATGGACCCAAATACGAAACCGATCAGGATATTTCTCTGGGTCTGGAAAACAATGCATCCTTTCTCCTGTAATAAAAATCCACAAATTACTTTTTAAAAGCATACATGTTACTATATTATTAAGGAGACAGAATGAGCTCAAAACAACATATTTTATCTGATGATTTGGAATAAAGTAAGTGCTAACATTCCCCACCGACTGTATTACATACATATAACAAATTATTCTATCTGTTTTCTCATGCAAGCAACTGTATTGGTTTTAATAAAGAAATACAGGTTCTTTGTTTCAGTCAATAAAATTAATAGATAAACACAGACAGATTAGTTACACGATACATATTTTTGTTATCATCTACCCATAAGTTGTGCAGCCTTGAAGACAATTGCCGATAATCGCTTTACGTGGCATTTTCTACATTTGACAGCAGTATATTAAATATGGGTATAAATAAAGTACTTACCACTAGGAGGGCAGCCAAAAGCACAACGTCTGGGCATTGTTGTTATTATATTAGATGTTTCACAACACACAATGTTTATCACATTACAAAAGCGTCTATTTCGCAAAGGGAGCGTCCTGTCGCGATCTTAATAGAAAACCACTAAAACAAAACTCACAAAAATATCACGGAGGAACACAAAGTTCGACTCAACGTAATTACTGCGTTTTTAATACCAAAATTTAACGACAAATCACAAATGCAAAGCGCATACGAAATTAGCCGCAATTTTAGTAATGTCAAACAGTGTTGCCAGGTCCGATTTTTAAAACTCGGGAGTCGTTATAGAAAAAAACAGTGGATGTACAGTTTGTCTATAAAGTCGTGACATGAATGTTTGAGGAACTAACATTATTCATGTGTCTGGCAACACCAAACTTATGTATATCAGCTAGAGGTTTTTGGCGGGATTTCATCGAGTGTGGTTGGCGTCTTATTTTAATTATTCTTAAATTCGTTCATAGTGGATATTGTGAAATAAAATTGGTGTGATTTTGTGTTACAACTGTCTGCGTAACTGAAGAATTAGTAGAATCGTCAAAATATACGCTATTCCGGTCAAGTGGACGTGAGAATTTTATTGTAGTATTGACTACCTCACAGAAGCTTATCGAAAAGCCAGCTCGATACATTTCGTGCCAAACACTTCAAGAAACATTAGAATGCGTCACACCGACATTCTAATGTAAAAAGAAAAACAGAATAATTTAACTTAAGACTAGGCTGTATGGGCATTGTTCCCCTTGCCTTCCCTGAAAAGGGAGAACTAAACCAAAAAAAAAAAGTATATCAGCTGTCAATGCTGTCATCGAGTTTCAGTTGAGGAACAGTTTTCCTTTTGTATTTTTTATTGTTTGAATTAAACTGTAATAAATTAAGACGAAACTACGCAGAAAGGTATAAAATGAGTAAAGTAAATCGGAGTGGCAAGCGGGAAGTGATTTTTAAAGTTTTCCAGCGATGTTTCGAAGACTACCAAGCTGGACGAATTTTGTGGGATTTGGATGATGTTTATGGGCGAACAGCATCTATGACGGGTATGTAATCGTGTAACTATTTATTTGTAATCTGCCTGAAGTTACAAATTTACTCAATTTACGATTTTGGGACCAAAAAAGGCATTGTTTACATTGCACATTTTTAGGTTAGATTAACAATGGTGTCGATTCTAGCATGATTCTCTAAACCTAAACTTAAATTTGACAGCAGTATATCCTTGTCATTCTCTATACAGAATGAAAAGGAGAGACTGATGTTAAATTTAGATTTAAGTTTAGATAATCACGCCAGAATCGACACCATTGTAAATAGGTAATATTGTAGTACGACCATTTCTTTTGATACGTTATTATGGTTCAACTCGGTCAGGTTTTCCACCAATTTTGAATTAATTGCTTCATGTCAATAAGTTATTGTTTCTATTCCATTACATATTTTTTTCAGGTAAATGAGAGTCGGATAGTCAACGTAGGTTTTAAGAATGATGGAAAGTTTGAAACTCCTGGGAAAACAGGCAAGGCCGACCAAAGAAAGAAATGGTCACATAAAGAACCATGGCCAGATGCTTTTAGTGAAGATACCTATCACTAATTTTACTAACTGCACATTTACAAATTGTTTCTCTTAATAAACTTTTTATATACTATAAAATGAATTTTAGTATTATTTTCTTAACTAGTGTGTTAAAAAACGTCGTATGATGATACTTGCGTGTATTGATGATTACCTAACGGCTCTGGTCTCAATGGCACCTCAGCGGTAATCACCAACATTACACACTTTTACACTATAAAGTACTATTTTATCTATAATAATTTTATGCTGATTCAATAAAATATGCTTGGCTAAACTTTTTATAAGCATAGGTACCTACTATATATAAAACTGAAACAAAATACGACTGTATAGTGTGCCTTATTAATTACCTGTTTTACTTGAATGAACTGCTAGTATCAAAATCATTTTGGTCAGACTGTATAGGGTTGCTACATGCATTCTAGTGGTGCCATCATTTAATGTCACGACTTTATAGACAAACTGTATGGAAAGAGCTAGTAGATGCAGAGGCGTACTTTTTGCCGATTGCACCCCCCCCCGCCACCCCCCCTCCTACAATTGGTAAATCAAAGACCAACAACGAATGTGTTTCTGTGGCTACTGCCGCCCCTCAAAGCAATTTTTTTTAGACAATTCCATTTATTTTATAATTATTAAGGTTATCTACATTATTAATGACGGAAAATACAACTGAACATGCAATGTAAAATAGAAAATCGTATTCTAAAACAACCGGAGATTCATGTAGAAAAACAGAAGAACAGGAGAAATTTCAGAAAAACAGGAGATTTCCTGTAAAATCTGGAGACCTGGCAACACTGGTGATGCTGATTGATATTACAAGTTACTAGTAAAAAAAATACTATTTATAATACTAGCAACTCTGTAGCTTTAGTTTCGGGGCGAAGCCCTAGAGGCGCTGCTATCTTAACAATAATGTTATTTCTATGAAACTGTCCCCCCTCTGCTTGACAACAGTCTGTCCTTGGGATCATGCTTTATAAAAAACCCGACTGCTAAAATATTACTTCATATAAAAACTAAAAATAAAAAAAACAAGTCCAGTAGTCTATAATTCTGTTAAGTAAGCTACTTTAACAGTCGGGACCCATTAGATATTCAAGAATGGATAAAATTTTTCAATAATGGGTCCCGACTGATAATGTAGCTTTGTTCCTTACTTAACAGAATTATAGACTACTGGACTTGTTTTTTTTATTTTTAGTTTTTATATGAAGTAATATTTTAGCAGTCAGGTTTTTTGATTTTTAAATTTATCATTTTTATTTCACACTTTTTAGCATTATAAGATGGCATATACTGTAGTCTTGTCACTTAAGTAAGGGAATTAATATTGCAGGAATTATTAAGTACCTTGCGGTGGTTTTAGACCGATTGATTTATAAAGTTCTTGTTGTGAGCTTGCTGTGCTTGTTGCTTGCGCCCTAGTAGCTCTCCTCCAGCAAGGTCTGCAAACTCTTGTAAATATTTGGAGGTCTGCCTGAAAAACAAAAATATGGGTATGAAATAATAATATTTATTATTGTAAAAGTATATTTATATTATCTCATAATACCTGAATCTGTGGCACCCATGCTTGTATTACAGTGCACTCATGACGATTACTACCCATAGGAATGCTTCTTGCTCGTAGAACGGACACACCACATCCCAAACATACTGATCTGTGTCCATAATTTCGGCAAGGTTCATCCATCTGAGCTTGAGTTTGAAGAATAACAAAGCATTCTTCACAAACTCTGTATTCTGATGTAACCTGTAACAAGTGTTTTATATAATGTTATATTTTTATTTTAACTTTTTAAACACAAAAAAGACATATTAAATAAGTCTATATCCTCAACCCTATTAACCTACCTAATCTACTAATTGTGTAACGACTGTAACTATCTAAAACTATTTATTGGTACTGTCTTAATAGAAATTCATAAAGAAGCGCACAAATATGTATTTCGTAGATTCTAATTAGTGGATAATGGAGTTGGTTGTACAATAACTTAGGACGTCACCTGTATCAAAATACTGTTTATCGTTATAAGAATTATACCACTGTTTTTGTCCCGAATAAAATAAAACTAAACTTAACACATCTAAAGAACTTTTCATAAAATGTGGAATCAACAATTTTATTTCATACTAGCTGACCCAGCGATTTTTTTTTTAATTTTTCTCACCTTTTAAACCTTCCCTGGACTATGACAAACATTACAAAACCAAAATCAGCTAAATTGGCCCAGCCATTCTGAAGTTTTAGCGAGACAAACAAACCACAATTGATTTTTATTTATATAGAGAGATAAAGAAAATCTGATAACAGTGTGATCTGTGTTCATACATTATATACTTTTAAGAAATTGATTTTGGATCTTTATTTTATAACGAGATAAACGCACCAAAACAGGCCTAAGAGTAAGCGGGATAAGATTCCCTTGATAAATTGGGGCCTCTCAACCGCTCCAACCCATGTCAGCAAAAAGTTGACATGGGCAAATCTGGTATGTGAAATCATGTCAAATAAAACTAGTTTTTTACGGGTTAATGCACGAAACTTTATCTTTATTTATTTATTGACGTTTCGTAGCCTTTACAGGCTACGTAGACGACGTAAAAAACTAGTTTTATTTAATGAGTGATGTGCGTGAAAACCTAAGAAACAATCATGTCAAATGTTTGTTGACAGGGCGGAAAACCTTGCAGTTTAGGTACAAAGTGGAAACCATTTGTGTGTGTGCGTGTATAGAATTTTATTGCTTGGTATTTTATTTTCACAAAAACGTAGTTACACAAGACAAATACAATATGTGTGACTAAATAGATATTAAACGTTTTTGGTCTTGTTTAATTAAAATTCAATAAGTGTTATTCTCTTCTTTTACGAGCCTAAAAAGCCATGGAATGGTTCGGTAGCGTGTAGGTAAGATATAATACTAGTTATGATACGTACTTACCTCAATAGGTGAAATCCAAGATATCAAGAGATCACGTAAAGGTGTATCTAGTTCCAACACTCCCCGTGATACAATACGTGGATTTCGTAAGGTAATAGTACAGTTAACACAACGATTATAAAACGCCATTTCACTGCACTAAAGAGTCACTCACTGTCTCAGAAAAGTTTCACTCACAGAATGGTTTACGCAAACTAAACAGTACTACGGAGGATCGACTTAACGCAGCCTGGAAGAATTTTAAGCTAAACAAACGAAGAATACACAAGAAAATCGCGAGGGCGCAAAAGTCTGCAGCAGCTTTTTTTCAGCATCTGCAATGGATCAAAGTGTAACTAACTTAAAAAAGGTGGTGAAGAAGCTAACTGAAAAGAATCTCAAATTACAAAACATGGCTAAAGAAAGCTTGTAGATTTTTTATATATAACTGGTGTGATGAGGTAAATAAATTATTAAACGGCACCATAAAGGTGCGTAATTGTACAAATTTTAGATATTAAAAGAATGGCATGCAAATATTTAATAATATAAATAAAAATAATTGATTTATAAAACTTCTTTATTTATTCTAACCGACTGTGTTAAAGCTACATAATTAGACAATTATCAAAAAAAACTGTGTAAACAAATAGTAGGTAAATTATCTAAAAATGTACCTTTAACACAGTATGGTTTTTCCCTTTTTTCATATTAATAACCGCATCTAAAGCTGCCGGTACCGGTTCAGTAGTACATGACTTGTGATTGTCATGAATCGCTAGATGGCGCTGTATGCTCAGGTTAACTGATATCTCTATTACTATAGTATATAATGTACTCTATGCGCATGTACGCAATTAGCCGCAATTTTAGTAATATCAGTGATGCTGATTGATATTACAAGTTACTAGTAAAAAAAAAATACTATTTATAATACTAGCAACTCTGTAGCTTTAGTTTCGGGGCGATGCCCTAGAGGCGCTGCTATCTTAACAATAATGTCATTTCTATCAAACTGTCCCCCCTCTGCTTGACAACAGTCTGTCCTTGAGATCATGCTTTATAAAAAATGAAAAGGATAGACTAATGTCAAGTTTTCTTAAAGCAAACACGAATAGGCAAGTGAAGTGCCAGCATGAGACATTTCGAATCGAACTAAACCACAGACTACTTAAATACTACCTCAAACCAAAACCAAATAAAAAACTTTCTATTTGGTATGAGGATACTACGTACAGACTGCTAACCATAGAAAATATTTGCAAATGTTAGCAGACATTATAAGAATTGGCGGAAATTATTCAGTGCAACAAATTCAAATTATTTAAAAACTGCACTGAACCACATGCTCAACACATCAACATCGAAATTAGAGCATGAGGGGTGCTGAAAGCTGAGAGGGGGGAGACACTGAACTGTCATTTGTAATTTTGCTAATGGGGGCTGTACTGACATCACCACCGCAGGGCCAATCTAGGGCTCACGGTGATCGGGACAATATCGGCTTGTCTCCTACACACATGCCTGCTATTGAGTGTTCGGGTATAAGTTGATAAAACATGTTGATAATGGCCCCACTAATATCAAAAGATCGGTAGGTTGGGCCTTGGCTCTTTCCTTGATGTTGGCAAAAAAAAATCTGGGTCAAGAATTGGCAACAGAAACAAATGTATTGTAACTAAATAATGTTTGTGTTTTTTTATCCCACATGTGGGGCTGAACCTTTTTTATACTTGTCTGTCACCCACACAAAATCATTTATCAATAGTGTAATGTATAACACATATTACACAATTGACTCGATGGTCCCGAGCGGCTATATCTTATCTCGCTCAGAATTTGGAGTAGAATCGTAATTGAACGTGTCCTATATGGACTAGCGTAACTCTCGCGCCCGGCGCGAAGTATCGTATTTCAGCAGGCCGTGTTTATTTTAACGCATCTCCGTGCGCGCGTCAGATCCATTGTATCTCTCGCAGCTTTAGGACGGAGTATCGTAACTCACCGACTGGAAAACGCTCCGTCGTATCTCAGATATGCGAAAACGTTTTATCGTATCGACCAAGTGCATGTTCTCAGTAATCGCGATTTGAAAGTTTCACGTTCTGAAAAATAAAATTTCGCACGCAATCGATTTTATTATATTTATTCAACTAAAGAAATTAAACATTTAGTACTCCCAGAAATTGTTGACATGTAACGAAAAAATGCGTTTCTCAGAGGGGACTATTTTTGGCACAATAAAGCGATTTCAAACCGATCAATTTTGCTGTGTCGATCGACACTTTTAGAATTCCGAGGAATTTTTTACGCGTAATGCATTATAAAATGCATGTTTCTCAGAGGGAATAAGATTTCTGGCGCAAAGCGCTTTCAAATCGGCCAATTTCGCTTTGTCGATCGGTAGCAAACCGCGGTACGCTTTTTTAAGAGTGTACGAACTCAAATTGATGGAACGTCCTCCTGTACCCGATGTTACATCTAATCGTTTCGATTCTTCGCTGAAATGATGCTTGAACTCAACGACAGGATCAAGATTTGAATTTACGTACAATTCCCGGATTTTGGACAATCCTACTTTATTTCCATCCATATCTTTTTCCCATTGCAAATGTTTCGCGAATTCTTTAAAATTATAAATGTTTTCTTGAATAACTTCAGTTACATCGTACTGTTTTGAACCCGCTTTCTTTGCTGTTTTCACAATGGAAATCCAATCTTCAGGGCTATGGATGGTCACATTTTTACTCCTTTTTTCGATCAAGGCGTGCATTGAGTCCCCTTCGTTTTGAGTGTGTCCAGTCTCCAGGAATCTGTATGTGATTTCGATGTTGTGACGCACGGCTGCAAGATACATCATGGAAAAAACAAATTGGTTCTTGTTTTGACCAGCGCAGTTGTCTGAGTAGAAGAAAAATTTCTTCACTCCTGTCTCAACTTTTTTCTCAATGAAATCGAGAAGAAAACTGGCGATTTCATTACTGCCTTTGGAACCAATCGTTTCATTCCACATGTAGCAGAAACCGTCGTGTCTTGTGCAATCGTACACAGTAAAATTGTACACTGAAAGATGTCGCTTGTAATAAAATGCAGAAGATTCTGCACGCGGAGATGGCAAAACTTTTTGCATGTCAAAGCATGCAACACACGATGAAGAGTCTTTGTTGCAAGTCTTTTTATTTTCGTTCTTCATTTTTTGGGCGAGATTTTTTAACCCTATGTGCGTATCGTAAGATGCTTGCAATTCGAGCCTTTCATCGGGTGTTGCATGTTTCCAAGCGTAGCACACATCGCACTGATCCTTCTTCGGTTTGAAGAAGTGCAAATTAAACTCTCTATCAAAAATGTCTTTATACTGCCGGTAAGTAGCAAAAGTGAACTTATGTTCCCCAGCGGGTCGATTTTTTTTCATCCAGGCTTCGTAAAATGTATACATTTTAGGAAGGGATAGATTCTCATCCAAATAATCACGATTGCTATCTTTCCGACAATAGTGCGAAGGAACTTTTGGGAACAGTTGTATGTGTTCTTTGACATTTGCTACCAAGTCTGAGTTCAAGGTTCTGCGCCCACAGTTCTTGCCACGATTATCACTTTCGAGTGCGCTTCCCATCCCTTGTTTGAGTAAAGCCGTTTTGACCCATTGCTCATTAATGTCAAGCGTGTCCAAAAACATGACTTTGCACACTTTGACCACGCGACCATTACTGCGAAAACTGTACGATCGCGATTCGTTACGTCGCGATTCCCAGTGGGTCTTTCTGTCCTTAACGGGGCAAGTATCAACGCGCCTCGCAAGATATTCCCACTTTTCTTTATGAGTCTCTATAGCCCAAAACTCTTTAAACAGCAAAATGCGGTCCTCCTCTGACAGATAGGTCCTACACTTATTGCGACATTTTTCATGGCAACCAGGTCTTATGCTACGAGATGCAATCAGTTTACCCTCTTGACTTTTGTCTTTATATACACTGACATAAGCCTCGCCAGCTTGCCTCGCGCGTTTCGCGACATTCTTCGCCCAATTACTGACATTACGCGTACGCTTGCGTGACGTTCGTGCAGTAGCGCGGTCATCTTCGGCCATTCCTTCTTGCTCATGTTGCTGATCATCTCGTTCGAGCTGTGGATCAGTTTGTTGGTCAGGCTGCAGGGCAGCGGTGGAAGGATCATCATTCTCTGGAGGTGTTGATTCAAAAATTGGAGGCTCCTCTCCAAAAGCAGATGTCGCGGAAGTTGACGCAACAGGCACGAGCGGAACAGGCATGAGGACGGCTCTTACGACTAATCCATCTAGAAAATTAATTACGTTATATTTTGAATATGCGGTGACGGTTTCAACTAGAAGAAGTATCTTTATTTATTAACATTTTTTTGCTCTAGTCTACACAAAAAATGAAATTTTGTCAAAAAACGTCGATATTTCCTTGAATACGGGAAACTAAATATTTTTTGATAATTTCAAAATTTTCGTATTTTTGAATTATTTTTCATTTCTAACAAAAATGCCGGGAAAATTTAAGATTGGAATGACAACAATTTACTTTGGGAAGCGACTTTCTAGAATATTTCTCGCTGCGATGACAATAGTTATTTATTATACAAGAGTGGAAAGTTCCTTTTTAACCGCGTGCTCGATTTGGATGACCGAGCAAGCGAAGGATTCTAAAGTTGAATCACGAGCGCAGCGAGTGATTCTAAATTAGAATCCTGAGCGTCAGCGAGGGAAACAAACGAGCACAAGGTGAAAAATCTTTCCACTCGAGTGCAATACGTAACTTTTCATCCCACCTCAGCGAGGAAATGACAAAATGAAAAAGAAAACAATTTATAATGACAAAATATTTTTATTTCAATTAAAACACATTAAGATAATCTATAAATTGAAGAAAATAATAAGAAGTAGAAAATAATTAAGAAATATTAAATGTAACGTTGCTACAGTTACTTATGTTAAGTTTAATATTTTTGTTAGGTAATGTTATGTTGGTGTTTGTGAATTGTGCGCTGTTTTGTGGTAAACTACTCGTATCAGTAATTTTAAATAGTTGTGCCGATTCATTGGATTCTATTGGCGTAAATGTTGGCGAGAGAGGGCTATTGTTTCCAATCTTATGGGGGCTCATTTTAGATGTAGAAGGGCGAGACCAAGAATCTGACAGAGGTTCTTTCAGCGTTATGGCCTCCACGATACTATTACAAATTTTTGATTTACTTTGGATTGAATCCTCTATGTATCCCTCTACAACCGAATTAGACTTCCAGCCTCCATGGCGCTTAAGCGATAGAAGATCAGCCCCTGATTCGGCCAAAAGTGTGGCTGAGGTTCTTCTAAAACAGTGACCGGTGTATAACGGGGGTTCTAAAAGTCCGAGAAAAGTTGCTATTTCTCGTGGAATACTGCCAATTTTATTCTGACCCATAGGTTGTCGGATACACTTTCCGTTGCGATATTGTAGAAAAAATCGTTCAATTGGGGTGTTAGAAGGACGTAAAGCTTGATATTTCTGAACAATGTTTACATATTCCTTACGAATAACGAAGTTGCGGTCTTTTTTTGTCTTGGTATTTAGTACATTAATTAATAGCAATTCATCAGAATTATGAGAATATTTTGATACGTTATTGACATTAAGTAGTGTAAGTTCATTTGTTCGACATGCTCCGGTTATACCAATAATAAGAACAACCTGTAACAAAAGAAGTATTTATAATCGTAAATAAATTAATCAAATTAAAAATATTGTAAGTACTATGTACAATTTTATCAACAACAAAAAATTACACGTATTGACTTACTTTTGCCGCTAAATATACGGAATCAGGTGCTTCATTAATAAACTTTGCAATTTCAGATGCTGTGAAAACCTTCGATTTTTTTGGTTTATAACCAGATGAGGCTCTTTTTAAAAATGCCACTAATTTATGATAGGTGTCGATATGAACGTCTTTCTTCATCTTAATTGTTAATTTTAGCATTGAATACGTACTCCATAGCGTGCTTGCTTTCTTGGTCTCAGATAATTCTATAAAATATGCCAGCAAAACGTTTTCGGAGAAAGTTTTTGCTCCTTTAGCTAGTCGCCACATGTTAAATATATCGTACTGTTTCAAATACTTCTCTCGTGATTGCTGAGGGAGAAGGCTCATTTGCGCATTATTAACTGTTTCAGTTAACTCAGTTGGCGTTAGATAAACTTCATCGTCGCTAATGTCACTCATTTTAGTTGATTTTTTTGTACAGTTTTTAGGTTATGTTAATTATATTAAGCAATAAAACGTGAAAAACTAGAATGGCGCGAAGCACGCAAATAAAACAAAGAAACCAAGAAGGTTCCAAATTTAAATTTTTTCACAATTTAAAAAGTTCTAATCATAAATTTGGCACCATAGAGGTTACATTAAATAGGTTTAATGACGTTTTGAATTTACAATTATATTGAGTACTCATTATATGTGATGTTCTAAATTCAAATCTACTTTGCCGCTCAAGCGAATAAAATAGAATTTTCCAGCCAGATTTCGAAGCGCAAAATTACACTTTCCGAGGTGGTGGGATGAAAAACTTTTTGTGATTTTTCATAAAAACGGTCAATCGGACGTATTCAACAAAATATCGATCTTATCCAACAAATATTTTTTTCAGTGTAGACTAAACTTACTTTCTCCCTCCACGTACAATCTCAAAAATGTTTCCATCACATTCAGAAGCTTTTTTACGTAAGAAAAAATATTTTTCATCCCACCACCTCGGAAAGTGTAATTTTGCGCTTCGAAATCTGGCTGGAAAATTCTATTTTATTCGCTTGAGCGGCAAAGTAGATTTGAATTTAGAACATCACATATAATGAGTACTCAATATAATTGTAAATTCAAAACGTCATTAAACCTATTTAATGTAACCTCTATGGTGCCAAATTTATGATTAGAACTTTTTAAATTGTGAAAAAATTTAAATTTGGAACCTTCTTGGTTTCTTTGTTTTATTTGCGTGCTTCGCGCCATTCTAGTTTTTCACGTTTTATTGCTTAAATATTTTGTCATTATAAATTGTTTTCTTTTTCATTTTGTCATTTCCTCGCTGAGGTGGGATGAAAAGTTACGTATTGCACTCGAGTGGAAAGATTTTTTCGATCTTCAATTTTAGACGCATATGCACATCAAGTTATCATGCATACCTGACGAAAATTCCTCAACGATTTCATTGAATGGTGGCTCGTATCGGATTTCTGTTGCAATGTTGAATTCGCGCTCTAAATCGGAAAAAAGACAATTTTTCAATAATCCTAATGTGAAGATCATGAAATTTCAGAACTGAAATTGAGAAATTAGAATTGTGAAATTTACCTGTGATGTCTTCAACATTATCTTCCTGTAGATAGTAATCGCCCACTGGATCACTCATTTTCAAAATGAGAAACGAACGAAACTAGACAATGTAACGTGCTTTGTTTTCGCTACAGCAAAGAAGACAAACTAAACACCTCTGAACGCGCTTCGTTCGGTAACCGACACGCTCGCGATCTCGCGACTCTTTGTTCGGTCGACGATTTTGTGGAATGCAAAAATAAAATTTCCAAATTTTCGCTCCAAGCATGAGCTTGGAGGGGAGAGTAGCGCTGATATTATGTATGTAGTTGGGTATAGTTGTAACCGCAATACAGCAGTTCTTGTGTCCCCCAAGCTCAAAATGTGTTGATAATATCTTTATGATAATTATTTTTCTATAATTAATGAATAATTAATTTTCTGTTTGAATCAATGAATTACTGGATCATTTTCATTAACGACATAATTATAAAATACTTGCAACTGTTTTTGTTACATAACTTACTGTAACTTGTCCAGATTCTCGACGACTGTTTTTGTTCATTGTTTTACTTGAATTATTTATAGCGAAAAAAATCATCGCAGTAATTTAAAAAAATTTCTGGGCATTATTTCGGCCCCAACAAACGTAGGGGCAATGCTTTTGAAAAATCATCAAATCTGGACTTGCGATAAACCATTTTAGTGCATCTGAGATACGACAAAGCATTTTGCAGTCGGTGAGTTACGATACTCCGTCCTAAGGCTGCGAGAGATACAATAGATGTCACGCGCGTACGGAGATGCGTTAGAATAAACAGGGCCTGCCGAGTTACGATACTTCGCGCCGGGCGCGAGAGTTACGCTAGTCCATATGGGACACTTTTAATTACGATTCTACTCGAAATTCTGAGCGAGATAAGATATAGCCGCTCGGGACCATCGGACTATATTAGGTAACTCACCAGGCAAATGTAATAAAGGCACTGCTACATTGCTCAGACGATTGTAACGAGTTTTGTGTTCAGATAAAAAGTGAATATCACATATCCTCTTGAGCTTGTAAACTTCATTATCAGACAGCATTCCAATTTTTTTTCCAACAATTGCAACCCAAGTTTTGAAGCGCTCTGGATACTTATCAGGTTTTGGAAAACTGTGCATAACACCTGTAAATGAAATAATAATGATAAACAATTTTATTTGTTTCTTAGGTTTTCACGCACATCACTCATTAAATAAAACTAGTTTTAACGGATTAATGCACAAACTTTATTTATTTATTGATGTTTCGCAGCCTTTTCGGTTCTGCTGAAAAGGCTGCGAAACGTCAATAAATAAATAAAGTTTGTGCATTAATCCATTAAAACTAGCTTTATTTGATAAACAATTTTGTTCACTAGTTAATATGTTTATTAAAATGTACCGAATAAATAATAAGAACAAAATATTTAAATACAAAATTCTAAATTTTCAATTAACAGAATTATATTGTTGTAAAATGTTAACAAATAATTTTAAAAATATAATATAGCAGCAGAGCGAATCTGTAATGTATAATTTCACTGTCGAGCTTCACTTTTTATTGAGAAACAAGGCTCTTGTGGCATAATGACTTGGAAGTAAACAAGGAAAGGCAATAACATATCTATCAAAACATATATAATGCAAAAATTTACAATTATTCCCCTTCATTGAAAAAATTGAAGAATGAAAGGGCATTTGTGGAGTTTAAATATAATTTCAGGTGTTCTTTAGTGTCCTGAGTAATAGATTTTATCTATTTCATTTCATTTTGTTCTAAAATCAAATCAAATAGATAAAATCTATGTTCAAATGGCTAATTTCTTTTGTAGTAGGTTTTATTTCTTTTGTTATTAATATAAGGTGAGGTTTCAAATGTTACACATCATAAGCAACTACTGTAAGGCTCGCTCGTTTCTTTTTGGATAAATATCTCAGGCCCGATTGATAAATTCTTATTATTTAGTCCAAATGAGCACATCTAAGTATAAATATCTACTTACTTTATACTAGTACAAAGCTGCAAAATTTAAGAAGCGATATAATACTTTCAAACAAACATTGAATAACACTTAGTATTGTATAATATTAGCGTTTTATTCAGTAATATTTTAAAAAAGTGGGCAGTTTTCCGGAAATAAAAAAAGGTGTAATAGTTTTTAATACTTTTTTGGCTAGGTAGGGTACTTACCAGAATTGTTACATCCCAAAGCACAAGAGTGAGGCATTGTAGCAATTCC